AAAATAAAACAGGGGCTGGTGAGATGGCTCAGTGGTCTAAAGCACCTACTTAGAACAAGCTTAGCAAAAAGCACAGGGACCACGGTTCAATCCCCCAGCACCACATTCCAGCCAGCCCCGCCCCCTGGTGGGCTGAGTTGGACATATACACACACACACACACACACACAAATAAAATAAAAATTAAAAATTAAAAAAAAATAATTCCTAACACCTGGAAAATAGCTAACTCAGTCTTTGCTTACCATGTGTGAAGCCCTGAATTGAAACCCAGACACAAGACAAACAGTTATGTTTCGATTTTGTTTGAGACAGGGTTTTTCTGTGCAGTTCAGGCTGTCTTGAACTCACTATGTAGCCCAGGCTGTCCTAGAATTCATGATGATCCTCCTGTCTCCACCTCCTAAGTGCTGGGACTACAGGCATGTGCCACCATACCTGGCCTGTTTTGTTTTTGCCTGTTACTACGGATTCAACCCAGGACCTTCCCACTAAGCCACATGCCTTTATCATACTTTGAGATAAAGTATTCCCATACAGGTGTGTACCACCATGCGGGGTTCAGATTCCTATCTGCTTTGGACCTTTAAGCTTTAAGCTTCCCAGGTAATATGATTTCAGGTGTTTGCAATCATACCTGGATTTATTTTTGGCTAGGATGGCCTTGATTTTAAGACCTTCCTGGATTACCTTCTGAACTTCAGATTGCAGGCAAATAACACCAAAATTTATCTTGAATTATTTCTCTACAGTTCGGATTTCCTAGGGCAGACATTGGCAAGCTAGGGCCTGCAGACCAAATCTAACTTGCCAAACCATCAGCTGTTGTCTGACAAATTGTTATGGTTTTTTATATTTTTATATTTTTAAATTTTGGGAAAACAACAGCATGTTGTTGTGTTTGGTTTTTGTTTGTTTGTTTTGTTTTGTTTTGCAGAACTGGGGATTGAATTCAGGCCCTTGCACTTGCCAGGCAAACATTTAATCTACTGAGCCATCTTCCCAGCCCCAGCCGTTTTTGCTTTTTTTCTTCAGTACGGTTTTCTGTTTGTCATGTTCGAGGGATTAAATTCGGCCTTCCCTCTGAGGTGCATCCCCTGGTGTGACTGGGTCTCACTAGGTCACTAAGCCTGGGTTTGAATCATCTCTCTGCTGTACCCTCCCAGGATGCTGGGACTACAGGTGTAGCCACCAGGGGAGTGTATACTGCTTTTGGTGTAATCTGTACCTACACCCAAATTCTACAGTACCCAATACCCGTCTTGCACAACACTGACACTGAACATCTCACAACGGTAATACAACGCCCCAAACGCTTTACCAAGCGCTTTCTGGCACTTTTCTTAGGCGCTGTGTTCTAAGTATCGCTGCCCTGGTGTGTTCTCCTTTCCTCCACCACTGGGTGTCTTTGGCAAGCAAGGACTATTCTGATTCCCCTATTGGACCTTCATCCCCCGTGCAAGAGACAGCGATGTTGAGCAGAAGCGGGGCCTCTGTGCCCCCGGAGACCCCGACGCCGGGTTCCACTCTCCTCAGCCTTCTGGTCGCACCGTCAGCGCTTCCTCAACGTTGGGGTAGCGGCTGCTCCCAACAGCGAACGGCCGGGCACCTATCGGCCGGGACCGGGACGCTGGCCCTCAGGCCCACGCCTAACACGGGTTGCCGGGCCCTGATTCTCAAGTTAGCCCTTCGCAAACTTAGGCAGCACGGGGTTTTTGCATCTCTTCGCAAAGGATCGTTTTCTCAATGGCTTGAGTAACCAACGCTTCAGTTTACTTAGGCAGTCTCGCGTCCCTTCGTTTCAGCCTTTCGCCTTCGGCCTACAGAAACGCGAGCGGCGCGTACCTAGGGAGTTAGGAAGCCAACGGCTTTCGCCTACCGCGAGAGCCGAGCGCGGAAGGAGAGGCGGGAACAAGGCTGACGCCAGAGGGAGGGGTGTGCGCGGCGAAGGGCGGGGCCGGCGCCGCGAACCCTCGCGAAGGAGCTGGGAGGCCCCGCCCTTTCCGTAGATATCTCTAGAAAGCCGCGCAGGAGCCTGAAAACAAAGACTGCGCACGCGTGGCGGCTCGGCCCGGGCATTTTGCTGCGTCACCAGCCGCCGCCCGGCCTCACCACCCCTCGCTCGCACGCACGCACGTTCATTCTCCGTCCTCGCGCCCCTTTTCCTACACTTTCCTCTTCTCCCGGACCAAGGAGCCGCTCGCTCCGCGCGGTGCATTGTGGGAACTCAGGTCGAGCCCGCCGTCGCCGTCGCTTGAGGGCAGCGAGAAGAGGCCGCGACCGGGGAGACAACGCCGGAGTCGCCACCGGAGAGGATCCGACTCCTAGGAGCCGCCGCAAGAGGCCCGCCCACCCACTTGCCCGTCCCCCTGCCCTGTTCACAATGTGAGTGCGACATCCCGCCGAAGGAAGGTCGCCCGGGCGTGAGGCCCAGGCCGCGCGGTGGTCTGCCGGGCTGTCGGGAAGCGAGCCGCTCCTCGCCCTTCCCCCGCGTGCTGTCCCTTGGGCTCCTCAGTGGGGCGGTCGACCCTGGCCTGGGGGCGGGAGGTCCGAGATCTTCGCTCCGCTTGCTGTGGGCGGGTGGAGGACATTTTTGCTCCGGATGACCGTTTCTCTCATCCCTGAACCGTCCCCCAGCTTGCGGCGCCAGGATCCCCACTTTTCCCCTTGGGCAGTGTGAGGCGGTCTTAACTCCGTAACTTAGAGCTAGGCCGAGCTACTGGAGCGCCCGGCCACGCGGGCGCTAGAGGTGTGGACCCTGCGGAGGCGAGGCCGGGCCGTTCGGCTCGGCCGGCCCACCTGTGGTGGGGACCGTGCGGCCCTCAGCTGTCCTGTGAGGCGAGCCGCGCGCGGGAGGCCTGGTCGGCATCCCAGACTGTCTGTGGAGTGTGGGTCTCGCCAGACCGCCTCCCGACTCCGGTCCCGGGAAAGCGTGTGTGTTGCCGAAACTCGACCCCTTCTCTCGGGCCAGGAGTTACCAGGAGGCAGGTAGCACTGCACGTGGTCCGAGACTTGTGAGCCGTGTGTGCGTTAGTGTGTTCCACAATGAACTTGAGGTGAGGGCTCTTTATCCTCCCAGTGTGAGAACTAAACAGTACGTGCTGTACTTGTTGCTTAAAGATCTAAAATTTATGTTGGGGTGACTATTGGTTCTCTAGCAGCCATATCTTGTTATAATAAAGGATTTTAACTTAAGAATCAAATTAAAACACCATTTTTCTCAGGCTTTACATCCTTTTCAGGAAAATATGTGTTTCAGATGTCAATTTTAGAGTTTTTTAAAGGGAGAGGATGGTAACTCTTTAAATGTAGCTATGTAGAACAATTAAAAGGGAATAGTTTTTGTTACTTACAAAATAATACACTTTAAAAAGTTTAGTAAGCCAGGTGTGGTGCATGCCTGTAATTTCAGTATTCCAGAAGCTGAGGCAAGATCATTTCTGAAGTTCTGGGTTAATCTGGGCTACACAATGAGTAAAAATCACTCTGATCTACATACCTACATCCTAGCTAAAAAAAAGAGAAAGGAGCTTAAGAGTATAAAGCTGGAAATTAAACATCTCAGCACTCTTGAGGCAGGAAGCTCCCCACCAGTTGGAGTCCAGCCTGAACTACATAGGAAGACCCTTTTCACCCACGCACTCCCAAAAAGCCACTTGAAGACTGAAAATCCCCTTTTGGGAGGGATCTTTCCCCTTCAAAATTGATAAAAAGTGTCAAGTCAATTTTGTGTAAAAATAGCTTTTACTATTTTCCCCTTTTAAGTAATTACCAATAATTGTTTTAAAAATTCCTTTTCAACCAGAACTGTTGTCCCCTGCCTGTAATCTGAGTACTCAGGAGGCTGAGGCAGGCGAATGATGAATAATAATCTTGAATTTGAGACCAGCCTGAACTACATAGTGAGGCCCTATCTCAAAAAAGGGAAAAGTTTTTTTTGTATACTGACCAACTTACTGTAGTCAAGATATCTTTTTATGAAAAAATAGAATTTATTTGTATTTTTTTATTGAATCTCACTAGTATTGTTTAAGGTGGCCTCAGGTTCTCCAGTGTTGGAATTACCCAGCTCTGTTTTAGTCTTCCTATGTAGTTCAATATGACAATGAACTCAAAATCTTTCTAACTCAGTCTTATCAGTGTTCAGATTAGAGTATGTGCCACCATACCTGACAAATATATTTGGAATGTTTTGAATTAGAAATACTTTCTGGGGGAAAATTAAAAAAAAAAAAAAAAAAAGAAAAACTTTCTGGAAGTTAGAAAACTAAATAATAAATACTAAATTACATAAATGAAAAGTGTAGTAGTCAATAGTCCAAGAAATCTTCTCTAGTTAGAAGAATGCAACCTTCAAAACTCATTTAGGAATAGGAGGCTGTACTGGGAATTGAATTCATTGGCTTTCCATAAAGTTACCAGTTGTGATGACAAAATAGAGTGATGTATAAATTGAAATTAATTTCTGTGAAAAACATTATCATGAGTCCACCTCAAAATACTCCTTAAAAAAGTTCTTGCTTCTTGCTTTGGACGTATGAATCCCATCATTTTTGGCACTTCTTGAATCACTTCCTGGAAGTTCTTTTTGTGAATGTCTTTAGTTGCACTGTTCTGACTACTTCAGTGCCCTCAATGAATTCAAAATGTCTACCTCATGGTCATTTTCACTTTTGGAAACAGCCTTGAATAAGGTAGGTGAAGACATTTTTAATGTGTCTGCTTTTCTGTTGGATGGCATTTGGCAACGTTCACTATATTTTTTTAATCACATCTTATACAGGAAAGAATACTTCCTTGTAGCAAATTAATGTAGGGGAGCTATTTGGTGCTTTTAAAATCATAGAAGATACTGCTATTATCATAGAAGTTAGCAATAGATAAAGTATTGTTATTTTCCTATCTGTTGTATCTTATAATTTTGCAGATATGTCTTATCTCTAACATTGGTTAAAATCTTTGTCATTTAGCTTAATAGGATTGAGCTTAAAAAATAAAATTAGGGCCAGGGAGATGGCTCAGTAGAATAAGTGCTTGCCTGGCAAGCGCAAGGTCCTGAGTTCAATCCCCGGTTCCACCAAAAAATAAAAATAGTAAAATAAAATGAAATCAATCCTTATGTTGAATCTTCAGAATAAATTGTCATAGCAAATGGCATATGGTTAATTTTAAGTTAGGAAAGAGTACCTGATAATGGTCTTTGTTCAGTGTTGATTTTCTAAGCACTGTAACCTGGCAACTGGATTTTTTTCTTTTTTGCTCAGTTAGGTTTTAACTAGAAGGCAGTAGAAATGGGAAATGACAAAATCACTTGAGTGCAGGCTATTTTAATATTAAATTAATAATCTGATCTTACTGTTTAATTGCATTTTCTAGTTTAAAAATCCAAAATTCACCTAACAAGGTGGCACACATGTCTGTTACTCTATAGTTACTCCACAGACTGAGGGCAGAAGTTTCTCTGGTGTAAGGATATTCTAGGCAACTGCATGATAACCCGTCTCAATTGACGGGTAGAGAGATATAGCTCACTGGTGGGGAAAAAGTAGATTCTAGTTGTCAATTTTGTGTTATTTTGGACTTTTGTATGGTGGTTATTTCATTAAAAAAAAACCTCTGGTAGGGAGATATCACTATATTCTAGGCTGGTCTCAAACTTCTGATGATTCTTTTGCCTCAGCCATCCAAGTGCTGACCACCATGGCTAATCTAGCTTTTATTTTTTTTTTTATTTTTTATTTTTTTAAATTTTTATTTATTTATTTATTGTGTGTGTGTGGCCAGCTCAGCACACCAGGGGGCGGGGCTGGCTGGCATGTGGTGCTGGGGATTGAACCCAGGTCGCTGCGTTTTTGCTTAGCTTGTTCTAAGTAGGTGCTTTAGACCACTGAGCCATCTCACCAGCCCCTAATCTAGCTTTTAAACATTTAGTATGGGATGGGCATCCTGGTACATGCCTGTAATCCTAACACTTGGAGGCTGAGGCTGGGGCCATTGTAAGTTAAAGGCTAGTCTGTAGTACATATTGAGACCCTGTCTCAAAAACAAAACAAAAAGGTAACATTTTAGGGTAGTATTTTATTATAAATTATTTTGTATTAAGCTTTTTATTGGGGCTGAGGAGATAGCTCAGCAGTCTAAGCACCTGCCTCACAAGCGCAAGGACCCGGGTTCGATCCCCATTACCACATGTTTTGCTGACCCTGGTAGGTACGCCTGTAATCCCAGCACTGGGGAGGCTGAGACAGGAGAATCACTACAAGTTTGAACTGTATAGCGAGACCCTGCACCAGATAAATAAAGATTTGAATATATATGCACATGCACTTTATTTTCAACTGTTTTACTTTAGTGTTTTTGTTTTTTGTTCTTCCAGTATAGGGGATTGAACTCGAGACTTTACACTTGCCTGGTGAGCACTTACGCTGCTGAGCTATATCCCTGGTCCTGTTTTCAAGTATTTTAGAATAGCAGTGATAAATTTTATTTATTTTTAATGTATTTAGTACAGGGCCTTACTACACAGATCAGAAGTAGTGATCCTCCTGATTTCAGCCTCCCAAGTTCTAGGATTACAGGCATGTGCCACCACCCCCAGTCTCAATTGGTGCCTCAGTGCGCCCTGCTGGTAGGGCCAACTGAAACCCTGCACCTGCCTAAAAAGACACATTAGTCCGGGGGCTGGTGAGATGGCTCAGTGGTCTAAAGCACCTACTTAGAACAAGCTTAGCAAAACACAGAGACCGGGGTTCAATCCCCCAGCACCACATGCCAGCCAGCCCCGCCCCCTGGTGGGCTGAGCTGCCCCCCCCATACATAAATAAAGAAATAAGCAGGACTTGGTTTTATTTTTTTAATTAATTAATTACCTATTTATTTTACATTTACTTAATGGGGGGCAGCTCAGCCCACCAGGGGGCGGGGCTGGCTGGCATGTGGTGCTGGGGGATCGAACGGTGGTCCCTGTGCTTTGCCAAGCTTGTTCCAAGTAGGTGCTTTAGACCACTGAGCCATCTCACCAGCCCCAGGACTTGGTTTTAAAAAAAAAAAAAAAAAAGACACATTGATCCACTGAGCTATCTGGCCAGCCCTAGTGATAAATTTTAAATTGAGGCTGCTCCCTGATGAAGCTTTGAACTTTTTTTTTTTTTTTTTGGAGCTAGGGTTTCAACATGCATTTCAGGCTGGCCTTAAACTCTGTAACCTAAGCTGGTCTCTACCTCACAGTGATCCTCCTGCCTCAGTCTCCCAAGTGCTGGGCCTACCAGCTGAACTTTTGTTTTTGCAGAGAATTGCCAATTCTTTTTATTTGAGATGGGGTCTCATTAAATAGTGCAGGCTGGTCTTGAACTCAGATATGTAGCCCACCCTAGCTTCCAACTCAC